TCCCTCTCTTTATTTCTTGTTCTTTGAGCCGCCAGCGCGCAAACAACAGCTTACACACTTGAAATCATTGCGAATGGGCATTTTGAGTGTGCAAGACATGCATTAGAATTAAAAATATATATATTGTAATAATTCATAAATATTTATAAATGATGAAAAAAAGAAAAATTGTTTGAAAATTGAAAACCCCAGTGTCTTTGTTACCAAAACCAAGAGCTGCCAATCACAAATTATGCACCCTGAAAATACAATTGTGATCTCTCTCTCTCTCTCTCTCTCTCTCCCCAGTCGCTCTCTCGCTCATTCTTTCTTTCTCTTCCAGTCTTCTCTCTCATCGATGAATAAAAACCTCATACGCCAAGCTTTCGCAAAACTCAAATATGCGCGCACGCACCCGCACATCTATGTGAAATGACATCTATTGGCACGGTGAATGAAACGGTGGATTAGACGTATACACATTTCAGAAGCTAGAACGAATCACGTTTCCTCTCCGTCACAATATCTCAACACAATCCGCGGGTAAAACGATTACACCGAAAATGTCAAACGGTGCAAGCCTTAAGAATGGACTGTGACACGAACCTGCGAGACTTTTAGGAAAGAAACAGAGAGCAGGAAGACTTTAGGATGTGTTAGACTCATACTCATCTTTCTCATGAATATTAATAAGACTTTGCAGGTTTTAAAAACGTCTGATCATAAAAAATGTGAACTCAGAACTAAGTTATTATAGAGCTTATATTTAACACTCCCTCTGGCGCAGTTTTATGCTAAATTGACATAAACGACGAATGCAGACTAATATAATACTATTGAACTACATACATTTTCCGAGAGATTTCTAACAGTTTCATCTGTTCTTATTTAAATGTAAGATGCGAACTCTTAAATATTTATTATCAATAACTTAAAAAAAACAAAACTATTTCAGTCCTATTTAGAAGTAGAGGAAGTAGAGCTTTTAACTTTATGCTAAGAAAAAAATACTATGTATGTATATATATATATATACTTTTTTTTTGTAAGTGTCATATTGTTCACTTTCTGTGCTCTGAGTTTACCTGCTTGGTTGTTTGTTGTTAATTTTTTTAATAATAACATTTCTAAATTCTAAATATTTATAACTTCTACATGTCTTAAAAAATAAATAATATGCATTATCAATGGGGCCTTAATTATAATAGGTTATGATAAGCTACGTGATTAACTTGAGTAAGTCATATGACAAAATAACAATTAATATGTCATAATATGATCTGCATAGCCTGCAAGTTTATAAGCAAAATGAATAAAAAAACCGTCTCCTTAAAACGTTTTAATTCAGCAATCCTTAAAGCTTTTACTCAACGTTAGCCTACTTCATATTTATTACTTTCATATGTTTTTTTTCGATACAAGATCATATTTACATTTTAAAAATGAAAATGAGTATCTGTGATTTTAAATTTAAATGCTGGCTTCTTTTCCAAAAACACTGATTTTACCCTGCATGACTGAAGGTAGTCCCTCTTTTCTTTCTTTCTTTTTTTTTCTCCCTGAGTGTGTTTGTTAAAGCACGCCTGGTGTCACGTCGCTTTGCTGGCGTTTGCTTCGCTCTGTTTGGAGCGGTTTAATCGGAGCGGCCGATAGCGGATCGTAATGGAGCAGCGTCTCTAATCGGGTTTATTTTCTGGATGGGGGAGCATGAATGTCTTTCAGCCGCTCTCGCTATTTCTAAACGGAACCTGCCTCGAAATCAATCAAAGCTCCAGGAACACTTCGATTTATAAGCCAGCCGTATTTGCAGAAGAAACGGAGAAAAGTCTTGGTCAGATCACATCTGAATAGCTTGTTTCGGTTAATCCCTAATGCAGCCTTTTCTCTCTCTGTGACTGTGACACACACTTATACTCAAACAAACACACACACTTACTCTCCCATGCACACTCAAACACAAACTTGCACTATGCATAATTTAATTGTATGCATGCTTTGTAACTGTAAATCAGTGCTGGTAACTAGCTGCAGTTGAAAAAAGTTCAGAAATAGATCAGATAAATTGAAGGTAATATGATCTAAAAATTCAGAGTGATGCATTTTAAGCTCTTCCTGAGGAAGAAACATTTTATACTCAAGTTTCAAAGTTTCAGTTTGATGTATTTCACTGTGTGTTTCTTCTGTAGTGGGTAGATACAAATATAGTTTTCCACCAAAATTTAAAAAAAAATGCTTTGTTTTAAATAATTTATTAATTTAACAGAAGCTTTTATCAAAAGGACTTACAAATGAGAAATACAACAAACATTTGATCTTAAAAACATGTTTGCACACCTAATTTTTAATGCACATCTTTAAAAAATCAATTTAGCTAGACTCCATAACTTACTCAGAGGTGTTCAAATAATCAACTGTAACTGAAAGGCACATAAGAAAGAAAGAAAAGAGAAAAGGAAACTAAAACATTAATAGGAAGGAGAAAAAAAGAGGTTACATGAAACCGAAAACGAAATGCGTAAAAAAAAAAAAAAATCACAGTTTTACTAACACACCTCTCAGAAATCTAATAGGTCAAATCACTCACTAAAGGATTTTTATTTAATAGGAAAAAGCTCCTTTTTTTTTCTTCTTCAGCCCACCGCCTTGAGAGAATGAAAATGACATGTAGCTGGGCTTTAATTTTCTGTTAGCTGAACTTATGTATTTAGTGATGGGCACACAAGGCCAGTTAGGTCTGTTTGATATTGCCTTCTCGAATGTATTTAAGATCCATTACCCTGTAGCTTGGATTAACAGATACCCTCCAGTTCTTTTGTGTGTGTAAATGTGTATGTGTGTGTGTGTGTGTGTGTGTTCCCCTTCTGAAGCAATCAGTATGTTAATATGACAGATTGACTGAATTACCACATAGACCTCTGCACTGAAATGATGATAAGATACTAATGAATATATATACAGTACAAGAATGAAACAAAATTGGTATCCAAAAGTCTAAGCCCAACAAGGACATCCAGCCCACCGTGCAAAAAGACACACAACAACGATTACAGACAGACAGACACACACACATACAAATACTAACTTGAGTGAAGAGGTCATGTGCAGTTCTCTAGGTGACCACCAGGGGCAGATAAGATAAAGAGGACAGGAAGAGACTGCATAATGGTAACCTTCAGGTCAAAGACACACACACACACACACACACACACACACAAACACACACACACACACACACACACACACACACA